CGGGTGCATAATCATAACCTCTGCAGCGCATTAATCAGCTTCTGAGCGCTGTACATTCTGAATGGCTGAGGTGAAGCTCTCCAGCGGAGAATACAGCATTTTCCAACACTTCCTCAAGAGCGAAATCCAACGTCTGGGAGGCTTTTGGTGTCCTCCTAGATGGAGAAAATAACCAACATCCCACGCTTTTTGAGACAAATATGCAACTGCGTGTGTTAATAATTGCACGTTTTCACTGCTCATATATATATGCGGGTTCGGGTCGGGTTGCAGATCCTGTGCCGACGGGTCGGGTCGGGTTGCGGAACTAATTGGTAATATGTGCGGGTAGCAGGGCGGGTTCGGTATTGCACGTCGCGGGTGCGGGGCGGGAGCGGGTCTTGAAAATCAGACCCGTGCAGGACTCTGCTTGGAAGTACGCGACTACCAAGCCAGCATCCTCGAGATTGAGAAACGGCCACTGACTAGACTAGCTGAAAAGTGTGGTACCTTGGTGGTGAGGATCTTGAAGTTGCTCTGTTGAGGGATGATGGAGTGGAGGAGGTGGAGGTCCAGGTTGTAGTTCTCCCCTGATGCCAGCTTCATCGTGGCAGAGAGCTGAAGAGAACACAGACACCAGGAATTATACACCACGCCTGATTGGCAATTAGTGAAACAACATATTGTAGAAATCATTGGTTCTTTTATCAGCATTTTTTTAAAGATTCTGCTTCATTTATTATTAAGCTGCAGCAACAAACTATAGCCGATCGAGGCAAGCAACCCTTTTTCTAAAATGAGTTTTTCTGAAGAGAGTCTGGTGGCTTTGGCCTGAGCATAGATGGATATTAGGGCTTCAGTTCCTCGTGGTGGGAAGAGATGCAAGGTAAAGGCTAAAAGATAACTTGCAATTAAACTGATATTGAGTTTTGAGGTGGTCATTGTTTAAAGTAGCCAAGTATGTTTTTCAGAAGATCCCTACTGCAGCACTTCATTGCTTTGCTTACTTTACTGTAGGTAATATATTGACTACATATAAGAACAACAACACCACTTCCAAACATCTTAACCATCCCTTTAACTGCAGTCATAAGAAAACACACAAAAGAAAAAGAAAGAAAAGGAGTGTGTGTGTGTGTGTGTGTGTGGGGGGGGGGATGTAGCGCTTGTTAGGGGGGTGCAGGTGTCAGCTTGTGAGAATAATGATCTGATGTGGCTGCTTTGTCGGCCAGGAGTATAGTCGCCCTGTCCCCTGCAGCCCCAGAGTGACCAGAGATGAGTTGGGGGGGGGGGTCAGACAGCTCCTAACAGCCTGTCACTCACTGGGGCTGGGTGGGTGGCTTGTTGGTTTAGAGGGACAAGGACTCGGCTGTGGCCCAAATACTCAAACTCCCACACACACTTGTCATTTGGCAAACGCTGCCCTCATATAGAAAAAATCCCTTCCCACTTGAGGAATAACTGCTATTGTCTCAAAATCTGGGTTTTTTATGTCGCAGAGGAACATTCCGTTTTCTAACACCTTCAGTTAAAGAAGTAGACTTTCTGATTTGGGACTACATTTATGTAAGAAGTAGTTTTGTCGGGGATGAAAGCTTCGAGAGTTAGCTAAAGTAGCTTTTGGGCAATTGCACAAAACTATCAAAAGGCGTAGTATTCATTTGCAGTTGAATTCCTGTGCTGTCTGTAGGTATACAGCTTCTGCATGCTCAGTCACCCGGGAGCAGAGCTGGAACCACCGCCTTTCATCTTTAATTTCTTTTGTATATACTGACCTAGTAAAGAATATATGAACTTATCTGTACTTCACACCACGGAGGGAGCTTGTGAAGTGAATGTCGGATTCTCGGCGAGTTAATTATTTCATCTGAAACGGGGGTAAACTCAGTTTGTTATTCTATTAGGAAAGACAAAGGCGCTCCCTGGGGTGCCCTGCAGTTACCCCTCAGAGAGAGAGGGGAAGAAGTGAAGGGAAAAAGAGAAAACGCAAAAGAAGGGAGGGAGGTCCCCGGAGGGCTCTGCAGCTGATCCTAGATCAGTTATGCCGTCTATCTCCAGACAATTAGGAGGTTGGAGAAGCTGGGGATGGTAAATTGTTCTTAGATCTGTACTTTGGGGGCAATGTTAACAAGGCACCACTGGAGGCATAGTTGGGTCCATGGGGAGTGTGTGTGTTATTGTGTGCATGTGTGTGAGACCCATCTAATGGGCCCCCCTGAGGAAAGCTAACCCATCTCTGCTGCAGACAAATAGAGAGAACACTCTCTGCTCTAAGTGTGTTTATACCTCTCTCTCCATGTAGTTGAAACACACACCATCCTTGGGTACATTTTTTGCCATGACTGTGACGATGACTTGAGACTCTGTTTGATACCAGTCATGTCTGCAAGAAAAACACACACAAAAAAAAAAAACAGATTAGCAAGTGTGAAGAGCTTTTGTTTTTCCACAACTACTGCTATGAATATATAAACTCCATAAAGAACTTCAAAGAAAAAAAAGCAGACCATCTTGACACTCTACACCTTGGTTAATCATAACAAAAAACAAAGATGCCTAGTATTTCAATGTCTGCACTTACTTCACAGGTGGAGCTGCTGGCGTCTGCTCCGCCCTCCCCAGAAAGGATGACAATTGGATGTGGCGAAAAGGCAGAGGGATGAAACAAAAAGAGGGACAAAATTAGAGAAAAACATAACAAAAGAGGCTTAGTAAGGCTCCCTTCTTTGAGCATAAACAAGTCTGATGCTGAGAGCAACACTGCCCCCTAGTGGCCGCGCAGAGACACTCACCATGTCGTCACCGCTGCTGATCTGCTCTGGAAATACAGAAAAAAAAAATGATTTTGTTGTGAGTGGCAGGTGGGAACATTTAATACAGCCCCTTAAGCTGCCTGAATCTAATTGCAGTCTCTTAACTATGATGATGGCAAAATGGCAAGATGATAACTTTTAACACATTTGTCAACAGATAGCAGATTCCCCCGCCCCCCCACATACACTCTCTCCTCCACCAGTTTGTTTACTGGTCCATCCACGCCCATTAAAAGCCCTGTGAGCCCGAGCAGGCCTGATCACCGTTTAGCAGCATGCTATCATAAATTATTCACTGACTTCATAACAGAGAGGGAGAGATGACGGGAGGAGTGTTAATGTAGTCTTAATGAGGTTACGTTTGAAATGGTGAAGAGGAGGGGGCTGTTTTGAGAGAACGACTGCGTGTCTGAGGTTTTTTTTTAAAACATGCAGGGAGCCACATGTGACGGAATAACCAGGTGTAGTAAACATGCTGTCACCGGAAGAAACGACTGCTGCTGGTGTGAGCAAGTGCAAGTAGGGTACTTTAAAGTTTTAAGGGGGGTGGGGGGTGATGTGCACCCTGGTGGGAGAGGGGTCTCATCGGGAGGCGTTCAAACATCAGTAACGTTAACTCTGATGAATCACACCGCTCCTGGGAGTGCGTGTGCAGGCGGGTGTGAAGCGTGTTTGTCAAAACTTGTGCTCTTGTTTACTCAAGATGATCCAGAGGTAGGGCTGTTCGATTATGGCAAAAATCATAATCTCGATTATTTGGGTCAATAATTGTAATTGCGATTATTAAATGCGGTTATTCATTGACTTTGAAAACATCCATTTATTGTACTTTTAAAAAATAAATAATTTGAACGCTTTAACTGTTGAATTATACATTCAGTGTAATCAACTGAAAAACCAATACAAAATAAAATAAATTATACATTCATATCTACATTTAAATAAATAATATCAAAATAATAAATACCAATAAACAAGATCAACAAACATGTTGCAGTGCACTGTCACAACCTGAAAACTCCTTAATAGCCAACATTTTGGTAAAACATATTCAACCTATTCCACTCAGTTAAACATTAAAGGCTGGCCCACCGTCATGGTCCAGAAGTAAAAGGAAATAAATGTTGAACTACAATTTAAGACCAAATAAAAATGTTTTGGCCACCATGGCAAATGCTGGTAGGGCTGCTCATGTCATCTCTTAAAGATTTTTTGCAAGAAACACCAGCCTGTTTACATGGTCTGGTGTCAGAGATGAGCGCAGGCAGGCGACAATATTGCCACCTGTACTGAAGACTAGGATCTCGATTATTTGGGTCAATAATTGATATCATGATTATTAAAAACGATTATCCATTTACTTTGAAAACATCAATTTATTGGAGAATTTTTTTTTGAACAGTATGTTTTTAACAGTTGATTACCCTGAACTGTAAGTATNTATAGGGAGGCTAGACCTATACAATTGATTTATTATGGTAATTTCATGTCAAGACGAAGAAGAAGAAGATGGCTCCACAGGATTGACACTGAACAGTTCAGCCATCTTCTTCTTCTTCGTCTTGACATGAAATTACCATAATAAATCAATTGTATAGGTCTAGCCTCCCTATATCTGTGTGGGAAATTGTTCCATCCTCAAAAACCAAAAACTAATACTTCTGCAGTCTAGCTGCAGCTTCTAGCAATGGTCTTCTGTTAAAAAAAGGACTCTGAAGGTCCTGAATGTGGCATCACAAACATGACTTAAGTCTGAACACAGCAGACAAGAGTATACTATTTACAACAGCATTATAAAAACTAAAATACTGCATGTGGGTTGCACATTTATGGCGCATTTCCACTACAGCGCGGAGCTCGCCTTAAGCGTGCCGTGCCCGGCCCGTTTTTGGTTGCGTTACCACTTGGCGTAGTTCCGGCTAGCTGGTACTATTTCACAGTTTTTCTGGCCCCATAAAATCGAGGTTCTTTCCGGGCCAACAACCAGGCTGAGTCGTGCTGAGTATGCTAAACTAGAGAGAGAATCGCTGGCAAGGGGGCTACAACTACAACAAAATGAACATATTTGAGCCTGATTTAATTGTAATACACGTTTCAAAATAATGCCGAAGTAAAACCATACTGATACCGGTTAGTAAAAACCATGAATTAATGCTTTGACAAGTCTGCAGACAGACGGCAGGCGAAAAACGGTCACTAAAAGGAACATCAAGGCTTTATGAAGTGTGTTCTCTGAAGTCAAGCACACAGGATTAATAACTGCTTGTATTTTCTGGGGTAACAGTGACCAACACCCAGGGGCGGCGGGTACTGTAGGCTAGGGAAGGCTAAGCCTTCCCAAATATTTGTGTCACTGCATCCTGGTAAAATAAAAAGTATAATGTTTGTGTCTTTGACATTAGCGCTGCTATGCAGCCACCTGTGCCCTGTACTACGAAGCTAGTTCAACNGTAACTGCATCCTGGTAAAATAAAAATATAATGTATAATGTTTGTGTCTTTCACATTAGCGCTTCTATGCAGCCACCTGTGCCCTGTGCACTACGAAGCCAGTTCAACATACCCTATATGTTTGAGTTATCTTAGCTAACCCAAAACAAACGAGATCTCGCTAAGCGGTCCTACGACGCTGGTTATCACGCCAAGGTGTCTCTCTCCAGCTGAGAGCGCTTTACGTGAAAAGGGCGGGGTTAGCAACATTTGACCAATCACAAACAGGGACAAGTGTAACTGACAGCGCAGCGTCATACTTCATTAATGAAAAGTAAACTAATATTAGACAAATATGAACTTTAAACATCCATGATTTAAACATATAATCCAGGATACAACACACGCACCTGCAAGGTGAATACAGAACAACTTGTTAAAAAATAAATAAACTGCAGTGTTTGAAAGCTACAACAGTTTTATGATATCACTGCCCCTTCTAAGACACGAGTGGATCTGACTTTAATTACATTTGAGTTGAGTGTTTCGTCAACTTAATGTGTTGCTTAAAATAATACTTCTGCATACAGTATGTGATAATGTAAGTGTTGCACGGCTAGATACGGCTCGAGAAGCTGACTCAGATAAGGAAATATTGTGATATTATGTGATCGATGATCTGATTGATGATGTGATATGAATGATAAGTGTGACACGTCGGCGTCTTCTCTGCATACGGCAGTTTAAACTGTATTTCCTTTATCCTGTAATATGACTTGATATATTTAAACTCCGCAAACTGAGCTCTGATTGGTCAGCAGGCGGTGCTTTCACTGAGTTGATCTCTTTTCTATAGACGCCGGAGGCAGGCAGCGTCAGGTAAAAAAAAAGTTATTTAGCCTTCCCAAACCTGAGCCTCACGAGCCGCCTATTCCAACACCCAATAACTAAAGATGATAAAATGGCAGATGACGTGGCTGTGTTTACAGTGGTGAATCCAAGATGAGGGCAAGTGTGTAAATATTGAACTTGCTCTGTGTGGAGTCATAAAATAACCAGGGAATTTAACAAATGGGTCATTATACAGATCTTATATATATATTGTATGAGATGGAGGTTTAAAGATATTTACAGCCCAGCTGTAGTGGAATATAGAACTGTTACCACTTTCTGAACTAGAAAACATCAACAAACAGGAAATAAACAACATATTTAGGTCATGGACGCACTCCAACTTCGTTTTTGAAAGACGACAGTTATTAGATTTTACGCAGAATCACAGCGAGGAACACCGCATGTAGCCTTGGCGTCTCAACAATAAAGGAGCAGACTATTAAATATGTCAGGGAACTGTTTTTACATCCCTATAAAGAAAATATGATGCAGTAATGTCACACACTGGAGAAACGCTGGTACTTTTCTGACCATGCTTCGAATCTCTGTACTGCAGTTTTGCCAGAGTGTCAAATGTCTGTAATATTATATCTCTGTGTATCTGGGATATCATTGTCTTAATAGCTCATCATTGATCATTTTTGTGTCTTTGTTACCAACGGTAATTACTCAAAATGTCACATAATAGTAAAAATTGCAGCGCCAGTGCTAATTTAAGTAGCCCGCTGATCATTACTCGGGTTACCACTCTGAGATTAACTCCTTAATCTCTTCAATAATTTAAGGCAGCGTAAAGTAAGCTGCCACTACCTATAATTCCTTAATGCTAGTAAAGCTTACTGTAGAATGGAAATGAGGAAATCCACTCTCGCTGTATACAAAGACGTTAGCGCATTTCATCTGAGCGGCTAACAGGAGATTCAAACACATTTATTATAGTCGTACTCTCTTACAGTTCTTCAGCACTCTTTAACGTGATTATGGGCCTAATGAGTAGGAAGGGCACTCCTTACTATACACTAATTAGTGTGTTTTATAGATGATGTGGGCTAATGAGTGTATACGGGCAAAGTGTGCTGATTCAGGGTTTAGACCACTGTCAGGTTTTAGCCCGAGGATCAAGAGGCAGGTTTTTGTGCGAGTTGTTTTGATTGTTTTTGTAATCGTTAAGGAGCAGGGATTCGTCTTTAGAGGCATTGATCACGCTGCTCTTGCCAATACTGGAAAGCTCTGCCTTCTTCATTAGGACTCTGTGTATTCCTAAGAACTAAATCTCTGAAGGTGATGGATTAACTTTCCACAGTTTTTTGGACAAAGCATCTTCAAAAACAGTATTTCAAGAAAAACTCATTAGATTGGAAATTATAGTTATTAAAAGCATAATAAAGGTAATATCTTATACACGTTTTACATTACTGTTCATTTCCTCAGCTACTTTATAATTTAGTCTTAGTCTTAAACCTGTATAAAATATCCTTTTTTGTTGTTTCATATTTAGTCAACCTTATCCTGTTTTTGTTAAGTACATTTTACTTAAAGTCTGGGCATTTAAATCTTATCTTGTCAAAGAAAACCAAATAGTTTTGACATATTTTTGTCGCTCAAAGCTGTAGACATTTTAGCATTTTTATTTACAAAAAGACACATAGTCTGGCCACAACTCAAGAATTCATCAAT